TGAAATTGAGCGGAGGCACTAGGTGGCGCCAGCCTGGGTAGGTGACAGATCCTGAACCAGAAAACTTATAGTTTTAAGATATGAGGAGCGAGAGAAGCTATATTAAACATGTACAGATATTCTGTAGGTGATATGTTTGCATTCATATTGATTCTACATAAAACTAATATTGGAAAAGTGCAGCTAATCCACAACACAGTACACTGGAATATGGTGACTGCTTCAATCTATGTATTTTTAATTTTATAGATATTTTTTGATAATTTGTTTGGAGTCATAGCTTGACAACAGTTGTATGCATGTATCTATTTATTAATCACATTTGTTTAACAAGAGGAAAGAGATAGATAGTGTGTATATTATTCTTGTGTCCTTGAGTAAGATACTTCTCTGAGGGTGTTTTTACACACATACTAAGTTATGGATATATATGCCGAACATAAGCGAACGCTACAATCACATCAATGACAAATTATAATACACAAATTAATAGTCAATTTATAAAAGGAAAAAAAAAAAGAATACAATGACATCTAGATGAAGAAAACTGGGCCATTTTCTCAGTTTTCCCAGATTTTGTCAGAGTTACTGTCTCCCAAAGGAAAGTCGTCATCCACAGTCATCATCCTATTGACACAGACACTTGACATATTCACTGTTTTGATGATTTCATAGTAATTTTGCACAAGTACTGGCTTAACAAAAATATTGTTGTAAAAATAGAGTTGGTTCTTAAAAACAGCAATGGCAAACAGCCTCACTTCTGTCAGTCTGCCCCAAGGCAACTGTGACTACAATAAACTCATGCATCATAAAGAATTATATTGAGAAAGAAAGAGAGGGAGGAGAGATGGGAGAGGCAAGGATTTATAGAAGGAAAGAAGAGATAGTCAAAAATCAGAAGAGGAGAGAATCAGACGTAATGGAGGAAGCAAAGAAAGAAGAATAGAAAGAAAAAAGAAGAAAGAGGCAGGTTAAAGAATAGATAGAATAGATAAAGAAGAACAGACATACAGAGAGAGAGAGAGAAAGAAAGAGAAGAAGGAGGAGGGACAAGATTTTAAAGAAAAGAAGGAAAAAGGAGACACAAACGATGTTGGAGATCGAGTGACAGACAAAAGGAGACAGAGAAAGTGAATGGCAAGAGAGAGAAGAAAAGGGTAAGAGAGAAATTCGAGGGAAAGAAAGAGAGGGAGGTTGAAAGAAAGATGAGAGGGAGGCTCATAGGAGAGCGGAAACAGAGGAGGTAGAAGAGAGAGGAAGGGAAGGGAAAGAGAATAGACATACAGAGAGAGAGAGGAAGTGAGTGGTAGATAGAGGACAGAAAAGAGAGAGGGAGAGCGAGGAGATAGACGGAGGGAGAGTGGATAGAGAGTGTGGCGATAGAGGGAGAGGTAGAGTGCAGAGAGAGATAATGTAGTAAGATTGAGAGAGAGAGTGGAGAGGGAGAGGGGGGAGATAGAGGGAGAGATAGAGTGGACAGAGAGAGAGAGGGAGAGAGAGTGGAGAGACAGAGAGGAAGAGTGGAGATAGAGGGAGAGAGCTAGTGGAGAGAGAGAGGGGAGATAGAGGGAGAGAGAATGGAGACAAAGGGAGTGAGAGTGGAGAGAGAGAGGGAGGAGATAGAGGGGGAGAGAGAGTGGAAAGAAAGAGGGAGTGTGGAGAGAGAGGGAAGAGGAGAAAGAGGAGGGGAGAGAGAGAGAAGAGATAGCAGGAGAGAGAGTGGAGAGAGTGGAAAGAGAGAGAGGGAGAGAGAGTGGGTGTGAAGGGCGATGTGAGCTGTGGGAGTTAATTTTCGGGGCGTTGTTCTGAGTCACAGTGACACAGCTCCAGATTAAGACAGGAGTGGGCAGAGACATGGCTCCATGTTTTATATTCTCCACACAAGTCCAGAGTGAACAGGACTCAACACATATGTTTGAAGGATCACTGGTTTTATTCATGTTACAATGTCGTTTCGTCATTAGACACAAAAGTACTGCTTCAGCTTCATTACATCACAAGGGTGTACAGAGCATTTTTATCTTTGGAGATGTCAACAGACTATTAATAAAATATTACTCAAACATGTGTGAATGAAACAAAACACAACTCCAGGTCTGTTTTTGAAGAGGTAACAACATTCTAACATGACTTAAAGGTCTTATATTTCACTAAATTGACTCATGTTATAATGCTGTTACCTCCTTGAAAACATTTGTGTGTTAAACAGATGTGAAAACACAACTCCAGGTATGTTTGTGATGAGGAAACATTATAGCATAGATCAGAAAATAGTGTAATATGGGTCCTTTAAAGCTCAAAAGACTAAATTTTGTGTAAGATAGGACCTTTAAAATACACTTTGTAACTTTACTGCTTACAGGTCTACCATGTAGCCTGGCTGGCGCCACCTAGTGCCTCCATTCAATTTCATTTCTCTCCAGCAATCAGAATACACTAGATGGTTCGCAAAAACTCCAAAAAAGTGCGATTTCGGGCACCAGCCAATCAGCAAAGAGCCATACATTCTGTGTTTGTCAACGATTCCCGAGATTGAGGATTTAAAGCCAGAATAAAGAGAATGACCAAATAGCAGCGATTGGTTAAATGATAAAAAGTACCTATCTACCGTCAAGCAAACGAATTCTAACACTGTGATGTCAGACAGGTTCTACGAAGTGAAACCGGCTGATGAATCATTCTATCACCTGGTTGTCTCCAAGAAGATGTTATGGATTTGCTTGGAGTAATGAATAATGAATAATTTGGGAATTGAAATGTGTTGTTTAATTACCATTTTGTGTAGTTTCTTTAGTTTCCAAAGTTTTTGCCAGTGTTTGATAATGTGTGTGCATTGTATCACCATGGTAACTGCTGAACATTCTGCCCATAGAGATCCATGTTGAACACTCCTAGGATTATGTCACTGCAAAGTATGAGTGATTTATGATTTATGTATTTATTTGGGCAAGTAAGAAATGTACATTCTGTTACACTGGAATATATAACATTAATGAGATCATAGCAGAAATGACAACAACAAAAAATAAATAAAAATAAAAAATTGGCCTAAAAAGGAGTGGGAAGAAGAAAATGTATTTAACCTTACTGCCCTCTTCTAATCTAACACAATGAACTTTCTTTCAAATTTTTTAGACATTTTACATTAAACTATATGAACTATTTACAAGTGCGGACAAAGAGTCACTGTTATAGCTTGTAACATAATTGTATTGCAGTAATACATAAGGATACCAACAATGGCAAGGAAAATTAAGTATCAATATATAAATAAGAAATAGCCTACTTAATTCTTAATAGAATAAAATACAATAGAAACATATATGAACTCTTTTAGTACACACACATTTATAATCCTGCATGTTTAGATTTCATCACTTCACACACTGTTCCTGGACTAAAGTAGGACACTAGACCAGACTTTTTACTGAAATTCAAAACTTTACAGAACTTTTTGTGTACAGGTTACACAGACTTTTTCTGGCAGAGTGATGAGTTTTTGTGGTGGCGTTGGTCAGACCATGATGACTTCATGAGCGTGGGAGAATTTCTTGGAAAATTCCCCTGAAGCTTTAGTTTAAAAACAACTGGTTGCATCACAGACTTGTGTGTTTGTGTTTGAAAGTTTACTTAACCTTGAGTGAATGTCGGGGTCAGGCACAGAATGTACATTGTTTTAAAATGGGCAGAAAAAATGTGTTTCCAAGTAAAAACTCAACTCAGGAGAATACACATGAGAAGCAGTAGGGAGGATGTATGCAGCACAAGTTTTTCATACAGCTGTTCTTATGTTTCCCAAAACATGTGTGTGTGCCACGGTAAGGCCTATACACACAACAGTTTATTTCCTAAATAAAAATACTGTTTCCAGCCCTGTATCGCTCCCTGAAGTACAAGTACAAATTGACTTTTTAGGGTGCACTGTGTAACGTTTTGGGTGAAGGGTCCTCCACCTGCTTGTCTCCATGGAGATTATTTTTGAGCCTGAAATGTTAAATGGATCTCTGTGGAAACAAGCAGGGGGCACCACAAGGGCATGTTACATATCAGATCAGTGGAGAGGAAACCCCACTGAGATTTGTAACTATAAAACCACCTGTGATTAAATAAATGCTAAGTATATAGTATTGAAGAATATACTATATGCTATATAGGTATTAGCTATACTGTGAAACATGCCAGGCAAAGCAATGACATCTCCATAGAGATATGCAGGTGACCCTCCATTAGAAATTTTACAGACTGCAACTTTAAAAGAATATTACTCAAAAAGTAAAAAGCAGTAATCTAAGTAATTATTTAAGTACTAGTATTTGGTGAACAAACAACTCAAGCTGAAAACACACACAAGGTTCTTGTAGAGGTGCAAATGCAAGGAACAGTAAAATAAAAGTGAAAAAATGCATAGCACACTCAGATGGCCGATGAATAATGATAAAAAAAAAAAAAAAAGCTTTTGGACATCAGCCATCTGTGTGTGCTATGATTTTTTTCACTTTTTATAAGTTCTCAAAATGTAACCAGAAACTGAAACCGACTGATACTTTGCAGTGACATCACTCGGAGTGGTGCCTATGTCTATGGATGGAATTCACATCAGTTACTATGTTGACACAATGCACACATTAGCATGGGGACATATTTTCATTTTCATTTGTGATCAATATGAGCTTTCATAGTCATGTTTAGGTGTTTGATTTTCAACCAAAACATGAGTGTGACTAAGTGAAAAACTCTTGGCTTGATAGCTAGCTTGTGACTGTAATTTTATTTGAGAGGCACTTGTTTAACAGCACAAATCATCTCACCTGTTGCAGTTCCAACTCAGCTCAGCTCTTTCTGGACAGATTTGGTTCAAATAAAGCTCAGATTAGATCTAACCTGAGTCGAGCTTCTAAGAGAACGATGCTTTCAGTGAGCTTCACAGCCCTAGGGGATGACAGTGACATCAGCTGCAAAGTACATAGTATAGTACTGACTGTTTCTTTTCTTCACAGAACACGACAACAACAGAAGAACCATCGCGGTGTGCAGAAGCATCAGCCCCAGTGTAATCAAAGAGGAGTCCAACCACCGAGTCAAATGAACCAGAGACTATATCACCTCCAGCCACCCATTATAAACTATTAGACACTTTTATTTTACAAGTCTGCCATTACACTTTACAGACCCTGCTCCACTGTGGACATGTGCTGTATTCACTAGACTGTCAAAAGTATCAAAATTTAGATAGTAACCGATACAAACTTCACAGAACAGAAATGAATCCTGAACAGCTTTAAAGTGATATTGAGCTGTATCAGAACAAGTATAAGAGCACATAGACTAGTATATGTCCATGGACCACTATGGAACCTACCTGGACCACTGAGGGATTGCAGGAAAAAGAAAGTACTATGATTTAATGTTGAAAATTATATTCAGTTGTCTAAAGAAATAGTGTTTTTTTATTATCATTGTGATATTGGAAGCACTACTGAGTATCAAGTCTCTTACTTAGCATTGAAATCGAGTTTGAAATATTAGTACTGTGATAACACTAGTATTTACTCACATGACCACATCTGCATGACCAAAACTAAACAAAATTACCTTAAAAAGGGTTTATATTAGATAGATTTTCTGTCTAATTTTTTCAAAAGAGAAGTGAATTTAAAGAAGGAAAATCCATCCATCTGAAATTATGACAAATTTCTAGAACTAGTTTAAAGGTTCTGTATTACACAAAATTGATTTTTGTGAGTGTTAAGTCATGTTATAATGTTGTTACTTCATCAAAAACAGACCTGGAGTTGTGTTTTGTTTCATTCGCACATGTTTGAGTAATTCTTTATTATTAGTCTACATCCACAAAGCTCAAAATGCTCAGTTCCACCTTAACGTTTTTCCTTTAGTTCTGTAGAGATTGGATATTCTAGGGTTGAAATTATCCAAATGATTCTAGTGAAGATTTGTGAACAAAATAAAACACAACTCCGGGTATGTTTTTGATTAAGAAACATTATAACATAGCTCAGAAAAAAGTGTAATGTGGACCTTTTAAGCTATTCTTCCATTGTTCTGTGCACAATCATGATTTCATTTGACTGGTTTTATTTTAATGGTGCAGCAGGTGGCAGTATAACTTTGTAAAATAAGTTAACGGGGACACTTAACAATGGGATACGATGCAGAGATGATTGTACAGTATTGTATATATAAAAACTAGAGAGAGCTTTCTGTAGATAAAGAAATGTAGATTCTGTGCAGCTAACATTTGAAGTTGTAGTAATAGATTTGCTCAAAAACCACTGTAATTAACTGCATTTGCTCATGTTCAGGAATTGTATTTAGAATATTGTAAAATGTGTAACTTATGGCTTGATTTTCAATGCAGCAGCTTCTAAGTTTGGGTCTTACCCTTTGAGTAGTGGTTTTCAGTTGGCCCATTAGTCTGACTTGGGGGTTTGAACTGGTGATCCTCCAGTTCAGGGGTAATTTCTTTATTCAAACTACAAGTTTTCAGTATCTCACTATGAAATTGCCCAATATTTCAGTGGTAGAGATCTTACAAATTAATACACAGAAGTGGGTAGTGGTCAACAATTGTGCTCAAGTATAAGTACTGTTCGGTGATTTAAAATAATAGTAGTACAAATGCTTTTAGGTAAACTACTAATCAAGTAATAAGAGTAAGAGTTTGATTTTGTATTTGAAGTGGACGTATTTGGAAGGACTAAACATTAAACAGTGCACAAAATCTCATATTTTCAAAGGATAGATACAAAAATTAGACAAAGAGCAACCAACACTTTTACTCAAGAGTACTGTTACACTGTTAAATATATTACTCAATTAGGAGTAAATGTATACATAATGTATACTCAAAGAATTACAATCTTTAAAGGTTACTCAGATAATTGTTCTTGATTAAATGTACCTGAGTACTAACCACCTTTGTTAATACTGAATGAAACATAACAAAAATGATTCAAAATAACGAATTTCTTTATTCTGTTTTCCAATATAAACAAACTTTTTAGTCAGAAAAAAGTGAAAATGTTAAAAACAAGAACAGGTATATTTAACTAAACACTGCCAACTGTTCTAACTGCACTGGTATGTTGCAAATGATGAATCAAATCTGGTATAGACCATAAAAATTTGCAAAACACTGAATCAAGTTCAAATAATGTTATATTTTTTCAAGTTTTTGTCACTTGTAGACTTACTCAGACTTTAAATGTAACTGAGTACTACCCACCTCTGTTCAGATACTACTGATCCAAACCAAAAATACAAAAAAAAAAGTCAGAAAAACTAAAAAAAAAAAAAATCTGATCAGGTACTTTTTGAGTCCAATGATGAAAACCACCACTCAGGCCTTTCCTCTCGCGACCACCAGTGACCTCTTTGGTTTCTTATGTTGCAGATTTAGAGATTATTTATTTTGTTACTTCATAATAAATGTTATTTTATTGCACTAAAGTGAGAGAGTGTTTCTGACTGACTGGCAGCACATGCGTCACAATCTGGCTCCTGTTGTCAGTGATTCACCTGTATCGTCTGCTCAAAGGACAAACACACAATACCGTTTTTATATTGTATTGTATTACGTAACTAGTCATTAACAGTCTCAGTTGGCAGAGTGTTCATCCACTGTTCCGAAGGTTGGAGGTTCGAATCCTGCTCTTGACATAAACATTATCAGCTCCCATAATAGCTCCCGCAGATGAATGCTGTCATTGTGTCCTTGGGCAAGACACTGAACCCATCTCGCCTCCAGTGTTTGTGTACACTGGTGTGTGTGTGTGTGTGTGTGTGTGTGTGAATGGGTGAGTGGTTCCTTGGTGTAAAGTGCTTTAAATCTTGAAGGTGGAAAAAAGCTTTTACCATTCAGATCTACATTCACGCTAAAATAAAGACAGTAGTGACTAAATAAAATACTATAACAAAAACTGGTAAATAATAAGTACTTTCTATATTTTTTAAGTGATATTATTTAACCATGCTGTACTTTTCTTCCCATATTAGAGGTTGAGGCAGTAACTGATAAAACCTAGCTATAAATAAAATAAAAAAAATTGGACTTTACATCATTCGAATGCTAGGATATTTTGTTTTAAATAGCTTTTTCCTATGACAGCCGTCCTAATTTATCTTATCATCCTAAATCCCGTGGACAGCTATAAAAGAGTCAAAAGAACCACGTTAATTTGATATTTGCGTTGAGGGGAGATGTACCTAATAAGGTGTCCGCTGGCTGGAGCCTGGTTTCTTGTTGGAAGTGTTTGGCAGGAGATGACAGAGGCGTCCATCTCTGATCATCTGTCACTGTCTCTAATCGCACAGTTTCATCTTCTATTCTTAGCTCCTGTTATTTCCTCCGAGCAGACAGCTGATCGTCACAAGACCAGACCCACAAACTAAACAAACATGCATCATACATCATCTTATATTAGAAAAGGGACAGACTGAAACACCTCCACTTCTGCTGCTTTATTGTTTAAACGAGAGATAACAAACAGTGCGTACACAATCAGGTAGAGATCAAGACAAGAGACATAAGATCTTTATATTAATATTACAATGAATAAATAATGGTTCAGTTCACAATTTTGACATCACATTTTGGACTATGAATATATATATTTTTTTTTATATTTGCAAAATGTTAAAATGTAAGAGACATGAGGAAAATAGCAAAATATGCCCCTTTTGACAACTTTACAAAATTAAGTTAAAGCTAATCCAGAGTCCAGTCTAGAGCAATAGAAAAAAGAACTAAACCACTTCAGTACTCCACATAGAAATTAATTTGAAAATTAAATGAAATACATTTTTAAAATGAGTTTCTTTTGGGATAAATAAAGTATCCATCTATATATGAGTCCAGAGTACTGAACCGGTGATCTTCCTAGTAGGGTTCTAACTATGCCCATAAGTAATCTAAAGTGTTCACAATGTACTTTACCAAGAGCTAGCAATTACTTCATATACAACGCACAGAATAGAGACTACATTCCACTAACAAAATATGCAAATATATGGTGTTTCATTCTCTGTCCCAGATTTGTATTGATACTTTACAATGACATCATGGTGGGGGTGTTCAGCATGTATATGTATGGCACAATGTTCTGAGGTTTTCCATGGTGACACAATGCACACATTAGAAAACATAGACATAACAGTTTTAAAACTCAAGAGAAAACACACAATTTTTAAGATTTAGATTAAAACCAATGTTGTGATCTGAGTAGTGTTTTCAGTTAGCATCACACCCCAGGAAATGTTGATGACAGCAGCCGCCATGTATCAATATTATTCTCGTTTCATATCATAATAAAATAATATACACAAATACTGGCCTATTGCACCATTAGAGAAAAGGAGATCGGCTCATACAATACATACTACTCTGTATTTAAAAACTACCCATATTTATTCATGAATTCACAGAAACCAGTTCAGCACATGGGCTCTCTTCTATGTGATGTGTGTGTAGAGGTGTTGTAGATACTGCCCCCTGGTGGTGGTGTTAGCGGGGAACACAGCCTGACAGAACTCACACAAGTGGGACTGCAGAGTCACATCAGAAATCATCATTCCGCCAGGGGTAGGGAGGTGGTGGGAGTACGGGGTCCCTGAGGTGTTGAGGTAGCCAGTTACAGGGGTCTGGGTAGAAAACAATTGGAGAGAAAAAGAAACTATTGGTGTCATTGTCTTTCTTACTTTTTTAAAGAGCCACTATGTATTTTTTATCTGGTGGAGGGTTTACCACCTTCTTGTCTCCATGGAGATGTTATTGCTTTGCCTGGAACTCTCCACATTATATCATTTAACTTTCTTTATCTTCATAGAAACAAGCAGGGGACACCTCTTGGCCACACTACAGTGTCTGAATCAGATCACTGCAAGTTTCTGTATGTGGAATCATTTTTGAATAGTTTTTATTAGTATTATTAATGACATACGCTAAGAATTAACTCATCTATCTTTTTGCAAACAAGCAGATACCACTAGGCCAAGTTGCAAGTCAGATTTGTGAAGAGGTGACCCTTCTCACAGTAAAAATGCATGCTTCTCATAGTATTCTTGAGCTAAAAGTATAGAGACTAATTTTAATGCCAGTGTAAGTATTAGGTATCATCAGCAAACACCTAACTGTGCTATATTTTTATGGAGGAAAAAAAAGCAAGGAATTAATCTGTAACTTGCCTGAGAGGTGACAACACTCAGGCAAGTTACAGGTCAGATCTGTGGAGAGGAGAGCTCGCTCACAATAAGAATGTAAGTTTTTTTTAAATAATAAAAACAGCTGTAATTTAATAAATGCAACAGAGGGTGATGCATATTGTGCGACATTCCAAGCAAAGCAAAAGCATCTCCATGGAGAAAAGCAGGGGGTAGTTGTTTATAATTTATGCTCCTAGAAATGTTTCAAATGTGCACTGTGGCCTGAATCTCAAATTGAAAACTCAAAATTTGCAAATATAATATAAATTGTAAAGCTGAAAAATTGCTATAGAAAAATATAGAATAACTCCTTACATTTCTCTCTGTATCTTCCCCATTATGATGAAGGCATTTATTATATGAAGCTCCATTGGACAAGGTCAAGACTGAAGAGAGAGACTGAGGAATGCTGAGCTCAGATTTGGGGTCTTTCTTTTGGACACTGGTATTCACAGACAGCTTGGACATGTCTTGTGCCAGGAGGTTGGAGAAGTTTCCAATATTTATGGAAGATTCCTGAACGCCACACGGTGCTGCTGGAGTGAGGAGAGGAGGAGTTGGGTGAGGAGATGAGTTCAGGTACACGGGGTATTCAGAGTCCAACTGTGTTGGTAGGTCTCCAGGATCTTTATTTGAACCCCCTGAAAAGAAAAAAAAAAGCTGGTCTATATACGGTTGGTATAATACACAAAGCAATGTATTTGTATCAATAGAATGGTTATTGTAGTTTTTTTGCAGCAGCAGCAGTCAAAATAAATATGGTATGAGGGTCTATTCCAAGGCTATGGGAGAGTGAGTGATTTTTTTTATTTGTGCTGACAGAGAAAATGCTGAACTTTGTGCCAGTTTCTGTTTCATGTGGATAGTCCCAGTAATTACAGAGATATGAATCATAAACTAGGTCAACAAACGTCCAATCTGACAGTTAAACAGCAAAGCCCATTATAGAATTCAAACCTGTCCTCCAGCTCTACAGACATTCTAGAAAGTTGTGTCAGCATATGCAGGATAAAAGGTGGGCTAAACAAAGTCTAATCCAGAACTATAAACTGGGGTTTTATCAGGTCAAAATCAGGACAAAATGAGAATAAATTTAGAACTAAAACCAAGACATACTTTTGCCTGGCCAGGTGAAATTCTTTTCTTGTTGAATTCCATACAAACAAAACCACTTTCTCCAGATGGAATACATAATGAAAGCCTGTTGTTTTACTAGACAAGAGTATACCAGGTCTAAAGCAGAGCTAAACCAGGGAAAAAACAGAAATAAACTTAGATTAAACCTGGGTCAAATAGGACCAAACCAGGGCTAAACCAGAGCTAAACCAGAGCTACATGAGGTCTATCTCAGGTCTGTATTGTGTATTCAGTACCTTGTTGCTGCTTGAGAGCAGCGGTGAGCTTTTGGAGCATCGAGGCCTGTCTCAGACACAGAGACCTGAGGCGCACAAACTCCTGATACAGCTGAGCGTATGCCTCCTCCATCAGGACTGCACCGAAAGTGAACAGAAAAGATAAATAACACGAGACAAATCTTGCACTACTTGCACTATTATCCATTTTTCAATATATCACTCATCGAGTTAGTTATGTGTGATGTGTTGTGATTCATGATTCCAAGGTTTTTTGTGACAGAGAGTAAAATACATACTTTAAGATTGATTACAATAATTATTTCAAGTACAATGACATTTGAATCATTGTCTTAGACTCATGTTGTTGGAATGTGTCTTGGGTTAGACAACTAGAGTAAAGGGTCACCCACACAAATACATTGTGTTTTATGTACTTACCTTTCATAAGAGTTTACTCTTACTGATACGGCTAAACCCTGATTTAATAATGAAGCTGTAATCTACTGAATCTCTATTGTGCATTATTAAGAAGTTAAGACATAATATTGCCTATAACAATTTAAAAATAGACTGACAAATTTCTGCTATGTGTTTTTAATAAGTGCTGACTGCCAGGAGGAACTGGTTCAAAACAGGGAAGTGAAAGTAGATGGAACTCAAATAACCTGCACACATAGATAGGACAGCACAGTGCTCTTTAGTCAATATATTTTAGTGATTACATTATAAAACTGAATCCATGGCGAAGTATTATGCTATTATGCTTTATTCAGGAACAACTGCACAGGAGAAAGTAGGTGCAAATCACTAGAAACAAGCACAAAAGAAAATGCAACCACAATCTAGTTCTGTCACATATGCTGTAACTATGAAGAAGTGCAATTCCTTATATGTCAATACAAAGTTAAATGAGTACCGCAGTGCAAATTTAGTTGAAGTTTATAGCAATGTTTCGTTTGTGATGAAAAAAAATAGGCTAACAAATGAACTAAAACACCAAAGTATGAGGCAATAACTTCTAGCAGCTTAAACAAAAAGATCCTGTGTCACAATGATGAAACAATATTTTTTTCTTTACTTACTTTTGATTTACAGCAACACAAATCCCAGGGCAAGAAAGTTTGTGGAGTTTGTGTTAGGTTTTTGTGCGTGGAAGAGGCGTGTCTTTTAATTCTGGTAAAACGGGCTTTGCTGCGTCATGACGTCATCTCAACGGAGCGCTCACCTGACTTCCGTAAACAAAAGCCAAAGAAAACCAAACTTTTTTTTACTAGCACGGATGGATGAATATTATTATATGATTTTTATTTTTTTTTTAAGAAAAACACCTAAAAATATAAAATGATTAGAACCTAAACAGGCATTTTTCGTTTGGCTGACATTGCCATTGCCAAGGAACTGGAGGGATGGCACTGTTGGGCAAATTTTTCGTACAGTTTCTACATGACAATAAGTTACACTAAATAATAATTGGCCAAATGAAAATAGTAATAAAATAGCCTAATATTAATATAGTTATCATATAAGAAAAACAAGGCTATATTAACGTTCTGTTTAAAGGAGCTCTTGTGTTATGACATTAAACATATTTATCTATGTGATAAGAGGGTGAATCAGATCTGTGCAAAGGTGATCCCACTCACAATAAGTTATTCAATGTATTTTTGACCAATAAAAACACTATAATTTAATCATGCAAGTTTCACAAGTTAAGCCATACTGTAGAACATTCAGGTAAAACAGTAACCATAGTAACAAGCATCTGGCAGATACCCTATCAGAAAAGTTACATAATGCACCTCTATACCAATTTCTTGTCAATACAGTTATTTAATGTTGTTACCTTGTTCTTTATGTCAAATTAAATGTTGCAGAAACTTTAATCTGCAAAGTTAGCATAGATTTTATTGTGAAACTCCTGCTCATATCAGTTTCCTGTATCTGTCATTTTGGCCTGGCTCAGAGCTTTGGCCCTGATGGACGACAGGTGTTGGCTGGTCAGACTTGTGAAAATGCATTGGTTTTCCTCAGAGAGTTATGGTCATGAGGCTATTACAAACTGAAATATGACAAGACTGCACAAGATTTTTATTTCAGATTGCGCAGCTATGTACTTTAAATAGGGTATGAAGGTTTAGACTACTTCAGATAGCTTCAGGACTGTATTCAGTAAAAAGGCCACGACCCTGTCATCTTTTATTATCTTAGAATTAGAATATGTCAGTGGAATTTCAGTTTTAAAGTACATATGGCAGTGCGTAATTTTGACTTAATTTGGTGGGAAAATACCTTGTAAATATAAATAGTTTCACACAAATCAAGAAGCAATTTGTGAAGAAAAGTAAAAAAAATAAAATAAAAATCCTGAAAATTACAGAAGTAGAGTTTTATTTTAGAGAGTTTCATACCATAGATCCATGTTTCATATTGATGATCACACTAGGGAGAGTTCTGTGGCACAATTTACATACACAAAAAACTAAAATTTTTTGAGATTTTTAAACATGATTTTAACAAAATAACCTAGTTTTCTTATCATTTTATTTGTTAAATAATAATTTTTATCTAGATTAGAGGGGTTTTGGCCTAGTGTACAGGTTGCTAGGTAACAGTTATGAAATTCCCCAGTGTAATGGCATGATTTCCAAACAGAAAGTACATTTTGAAACCAAAAATATTGTGAAACTTGGAAGAAAATTCGTAAAATTAAATAATGATCTTAATTCTATTTTTGTGAAATGAGTCATACTCATAGACACAAGTTATGGTCTCTCGTAACTCTAACTTTTCTGGTAAATGGTCTGCCACCTGCTTGTGTCCATGGGGAGGTTATTGCCTGGAATGTTCCTCAGCATGGCATTAAATACATCTCCCTCCATGAAGACAGAGAGCAGCATTATAGGTCAAGTTACAGATTCATTATTTAATTTTTTCATTTTTTATGAGCAAAAAAATGCATAGAGGAATTAGAATTGCATAGTAGTGATTTATTGTTCCTGTTAACTGGGAACATTTTCTTCTACCCTGATGAATCAACAAAGATTTGATCCAGAAATGTGACTTATTCTTATCTGTTACATAACCCATTCATGTGATCCCCACTGGCTGTGTGCGGTCCCTGCTGTGTTGTGAGTGTGAATGTTTGATTAATGGTGCTATTTTTACATGAGCTGCTGTACATCGCCTCCCGGAGTCTGTTGGCTGGTTTACACTTCTTTGCTTTGCCCTTGAACACTTGCTCCCTGTCCCTTCCCCCTCCTTAGAGCCAGACACTTGATCTGACTGGGCTCCTTCTGAAGTAGAGTTGAAGTCCGTGTGTCTGTGCATTTGACTGTTGATAATGTCAATGGCTGAATACTGGAATTTGTTGTATTACTATATAATAAAATGGTGTGTAGAAAGAAGTGGACTAAGTGACGCCACTGACAGCGTTCAGCTCCAGTCAAATGAAGCTCACCGATGTTGGCGGTTATAGGGCAAAATTTGGAGCCAGTTCCATATTAGGAATAGGAATTTATTTACGGAAAAAATAGAAAAATAAAAACACCAGGATCATGTAGAGGAGGGTAATGTGAACATTTTATGACCAAAATGACAAGACTCACTACAGCAGTTACAGAGAGAGGGTGACAATTTTTCAATGTAAAGTCTATGTGAAATGATGGAGCCAGAAGAATGCCCATGCTCACTTCCTATTTAGAACGTAGGGTTAGTGGGTTAGCTATGCCCATTTATATATACAGTCTATGATAGTGACTAAAATCTAAATTGACAGTTTTTCAGGAGCTTGTGATCAATAAGAGCATGGTCCAGTTTAGGTGTGATTGTAATTTTATGTGTGAAAGACTTGTTCAACAGCACAGTTTATCTAAGCTATTATAGGTTCTTTTAAGTGAGCTTGTTCAGGTCATCTTGACTTAAAACAAAGCTCAGATTAAAGTCTAACTTGAGTAACAGAGCTTCTAACTGAGTAGTGCATTCAGTTAGCTTTACACCCCCAGGGAATGTTGATAAGACCAGCTGCAAAGGATCAGTTGTGTTCTGTTATATCTGCATTATAGTGTAAATGTATGTATCCACTGACATGCCTGTGTGATTTCTTGAGTCTAAAAAAGTCTAGTATGTTATTGTGATACAGGCTCCTACAGCTCAAACAGAGAGATACAGGACTACATTCATACCATACTCCATATAAGTCACCCTTATGTAACAGATAATACTCCCTACAGCTGTACAACAACTCACCCTTATGTAACAGATAATACTCCCTACAGCTGTACAACAACTCGCCCTTATGTAACAGATAATACTCCCTACAACTGTACAACAACTCACCCTTATGTAACAGATAATACTCCCTACAGCTGTACAACAACTCACCCTTATGTAACAGATAATACTCCCTACAGCTGTACAACAACTCGCCCTTATGTAACAGATAATACTCCCTACAGCTGTACAACAACTCGCCCTTATGTAACAGATAATACTCCCTACAACTGTACAACAACTCACCCTTATGTAACAGATAATACTCCCTACAGCTGTACAACAACTCGCCCTTATGTAACAGATAATACTCCCTACAACTGTACAACAACTCAAACTTATGTAACAGATAATGCTCCCTACAGCTGTACAACAACTCACCCTTATGTAACAGATAAACTTATGTCCTGTCAATCACTATTTCTTCTCACTACCTCTTGCATATAGAGCAGATATGTACTAAAGTAAGTAAACATTTTGGGTATCTGTACTTTACTTGACTACATTTTAAAGTGGATAGTTTACTTTTACTTCACTACATTAGAGAGCATTGTACTTTCTACTCCAATATATTTTTGAAATGTACTGGAAAGTAAAAGTGTTTTTTGTGTAAGACTGTTGAAGGCTGAGGATTTCATAGTTTGATCAAACCAAGAAAAACAGCTTGGAAATATATGTACTATTGATTCAGTTGTTTCTGTAGAACAAAATTCAGCACAAATCTTTATCAAAATCACAAAATTTAAAACTTTTTAAGACCTCAAAATCTGTGCCAAATACTTCTCTTGAAGTACATTTTTAAATGGGCACTTAAATACTTTTACTTTTAAGATCTTTTCATGTGATACTTTTACTTTTACTTCAGGATGTCTTTGCTCTGGTATATATGGAAGCCCATTTCTGCCAGTACTTAATCAGCAAAATTAAGTACTTCCACCACTACAGCTGTATAATTATGCCTTATTTGACACCTGTCTCTTGCTATTTTTGCTACTTATTTTAAATGTATTTTTACCATATTTATATATTTGCTTTTTGTTATTCTAATATATTGTGGTGTGTGAGCCACTGTGTCCAAATAATTTCCCTTGTAGATCAATAAAGTTTGTCTATAGTAAGTCTGTTGTGTAAAAGAGCTTTGCTGTATTAGAGCCAACAGTAACTCACCAGAGACCAAGCTGCAGCCTGCTGTACATTGCACTCTGCCATTGTGTCTTTGGGCAAGACACTTCATTCTCATCGGTAGGATGAATAATGCTTGATTGGTGGTGATGGGAGAGATGCGGAACATTAACCATGTTGAAAAGATAACAATGTACAAATACATTATAAACATGCAAATAAATACTCCAATTCAATGTACAGCACAAAATTGTTCATTGATTGGGACTGAACCAGAAGTAAACCAGGACTAAACCAGGACTAAACCAGAACTAAACTAGGAGTAAAACAAGGACTAAACCAGGACTGAACCATGACACAACCATTACAGAACCAGGACTGAACCAGGCAGGGGTGTAGAACCAAATTCTGGGCCCTAGGTACAAATCATCTTGGTGGACTCATGTTTTATGCTGTTTAATGAAAGGCTCACCCCCCCAGTCTTATGCCACTGGAACCAGGACTAAACCACTGAACCAGGACTAAACCAGGACTGGACCAAGGACTAAATCAAACTAAACAGAGAGTGACTTATAAAACGTATTGTCAGAGAAATCAAAAAGTCAATAATGATACACGAGCACAGACTTTACTTCCATATTGGGGCTCAGTGGGTGTTGGCTGTCTACATGTGTCTGTCATGCATGATGCTGTGAATAACTATGGGCAGCGTGCCAAGGGCCAGTAACCCCCCTCACCTCTCCACCCACCTTGTCACTCTGTTTAATACCACGGACAGGCTCAGATTCTGTGCATGAGAACACTTCACACATGAGACAAAGAAATGCTTTTATATGTGCTTTATATTGACACTTAGCAGCTGATGTCATCAACATTCCCTGGGAGTGTCATGCTAACTGTAGGCTCTGGTTAGACTTTAAAGGTCCGTATATTATGGAAAACTGACTCTTGTGATCTTTTAGCCATGTTAGAGTGTTGCAATTTTAATGAACAGCCTCAAAAACGGGGTTGGCATCAGACACTGCACTTGATTGGTTTTATTACTATCTTTTAGACAAAATATTTGCAGTCATTACAGTCAATTTTACTTTCTTCTCTGTCTCCATTACCTGTGGTGTGCTGCAAGGTTGTATTTTAGACCTGGAAGCCTGGCTGTTTTAAACCTCTTCAATGGCGTGAACAGTTGGATGGCACAGAACTTCCTACAACTCAACAGCTCCAAATCCAAAATCATTTTAATCAATCCTCCCAAGTCTACCTCCCATATCAGCAACAGTCTCGACCTCTTGCTCCCATCATCACCCTGCTGCCAGAAACCTCCGCATCATTTTTGACTCTCACCTCAACTTCCACTTTCATATCAAAAAAGTCACTCAATCCCGTTTTCTTCACCTCCGCACAATTAGCAATATCAAAACTATCCTCTCCCACCCTGATCCTCAGAAAGTCATCCATGCACTCTTCTTCTCCCGTCTAGACTATTGCAACTCCCTCCTCTCCAGCCTTGACTCCAAATCTACCTTCCGCCTCTAACTGGTTCAGAACACAGCTCGGCTCCTCACTGGGTTTAACAGACATCAAGACATGACCCTGTTTTACTTCACTTCACTGGCTGCCTGATCACTTTTAAAGCTTGTTTAGGTCTTGCACCAAGTTATAGTTCAGAAATTTAACCCCGCATGAGCCTCCTGCAGCTGCAGATCCTCAGGCAGGTCCCTGTGGCTGTCCCAAAGTCCAGGCTCCGGACGAAGGTGATGGAGTCTTTTTAGTCCAGGCACTTCACGACCTGCTTGAGGAGATAAGGCTCACACCATCAGTATCATCATTTAAATCACTTCTTAAAACACATTTTTATCGGCTCGCCTCCCTTTAACTGGTTTTAGTTTGATTTTATTCCTTATTTATTTTTATTCTATTTTATTAACCCATTTATTATAATTAATTTAATTGATTACTTCATTGTCTAATTTTGCAAGCTTTCTGTTATTTGTATTGTTCATTGCTGCTTGTACAGCACTTTGTAAACCTTGTTTTTAAAAGTGCTTTCTAAATAAAGATGTATTCATATTTATTACTATTATTACCTCATCAGAAACATACAGGGAGTTGTGTTTTGTTTCATTCATTTGATTCATTTGAATTTATTGTCTATATCTCCAAAGCTCAAAATGCTTTGTTTCTCCTTGTGACGTCATGAAGCAGTAGTTTTTAAGTTAACAGCTACCTTTTACCTTTAGTTCAGCAGAGTTTGGCAATTATATGTTTGTTAAATTCATGTTTTTAAGAGCAGGCTCAAGACCCACCTTTTTAGCTTAGCTTTTGATTTGAAATCTTATACTTTTACATGTTTCTATTGTACACATTTTATTATATTTATTTATTTTAGACATATTTTTAGGATTTCCAATGTTTCCTGTGTAGGAGCCCTCTGCATCAGGAGCGGTGATCGGCTGCGACTCACGGAGTCTGTCCACTGGGCTCCTGGTGGAGGGCTGATGCTTGGGCTTCATCTCTCCCCTGGGACCTGTGGCGGCTCCTGGTGGCGGAGGACAGCTCGCTGCTCCTGGTGTAGGGGGCTCCTCTGACAGTGCTTTCTCAACTGGTTCACCTGTATTCAGCCTCACATTTTACTATGTGTAGCTTTATATATTTTAGCATGTTAGTGTGTGTGTGTGAGTGTGTGGGCATGTTTGTGTATGTGTGTGTGTCGGGCAGGTGTGGGAGTTGAGTGGGTGGGAAGGAAATGTGGGATTGTTTTTAATCACTGTAAAGTACTTTGTGTTACAAAAGAGCTTTATAAACAAAGTTTGATTTATTGATTGACTGATTGAATTACAGGGGTGAAATTGTCAAAATGACTGTATGGAGTTTAAGAACACAATGGAGCACTTCCTATATTAGCATATAACATCACAAAATATTTTCCATTTGCAATGTAGATAAGAAAATATCATAGTATGGGCCCTTTAAGGTTAAAGTACACTTTATTGTATGCGTTGAGTGAAGTGTAGAGCAGGTGCTTTGATTGTGTTCCCTATAAACACTGAATGTGGTCACAGATGACACTTCACAACAGAGCAAATAAAATATGTCCTTATCTTTATTCAAAGGGGCACGACGTAACTTTTCCATCACCTGCTTGTCTCTAAGGAGATGTTATTGCTCTGTTTAGAATGTTCCTTACTATGACATTAAATGTGTCTTGCATTTGCCCTTTGACTGCCTGGTAGTGTCACTTATTGTCTCCCTGGAATGAGAGAGACATTTAATGCAATATTGTGGAACAACTCCATAGAAACAAGCCAGTGGCGTGCCCTCCAAAAGTGTATCCCCAACCTCTCAAATTATTGTCTTGGGGAGTCCAACCCACAATCTTCTTAAAGAGATGCAGGAGGAGGGCTACCCACAGTAACACAAAGCAATAACTAGTCCAACTATGAAAGCTGAGAGGGATTAAGCTGTTTAAAATTAAAACACTGGGTCCTTGGTTTAAAACCTGACCCAGGCCTGATCCTGGACGTGAACAGCAAAAGGACATCTCGAAGACAGATACCACCTTCTCTCTTTCTGAGCACTTCATAATTGTAAGTCGTACATCTTATCGTCCACTTATGTGTTTAATCCAGGGGGACTATAGGGGTTTAGGCGTGCTAAGAGCCAGGTTATCCCCGGGACAGTGACGTGTGCAAAAACCCATTCACCTCCAGACTCCAGAGAGGATCCTGTTTCACTGTTTCTATGGACCCAACAATGAGAGCTAAAAATACTCACAGCAGCACCAGCGGCTTTTCCACACCACACACACTGCTCCCCACATGAAGCAGCGTTGGTGGTAGAGTGATGAGATCCCCTGACCCACACATTGGCAGTGAGATTCCAGCTCTTACAGATACAGAATACTGCTGTTAAGTCCTTGGGCAAAACACCTTACTCGCCTTGCCCTGTGTCTGCCACATTGGTGTGTGAATGTCTGTCTGAATGGAAGAGTGGCTCCTTGAAATAAAGAGCTTTGAGTGTCTGTAAGGTAGAAACTAGATGTATAAATGTGATAATGTACCACATTATGTATTTGTAGATTACTCAAAACTTGATCATATGTGATATCCTCTGGTTGGCTGGATCTTCATTTTAAGGAAATGGTACACTATTATTGTTGGAAAATCTATCCTTTGCATTTGATACATGTTTCAGTGCTGCTGCAGCAACCTGTCAGGTGCAGTTGGTGCAGCACCCCGGGACCCCTCTCCAAATCTTGAACTGGTCTTGGTCAGAACTACCTTAACTTGAGGCTTTTTCCTGTGGTGCATGTTTTGGTTTGATAGGGGAAACCAGAGTGTCAGACATAGGGAGAACATGCATTTCTCAGCACTGAAAGGCCCAGGCCAGTCAAACAGACAACTATCCTGCTGTGAGACAAGAGAGTTATATCCACCTTTCCTGCAGCCAGAACCACATGCTCTGACCAAACTTAACTGTTCTTTATCTCAGATAAAAGAAGTGATATATTTTGTTACAATACAAGAATTTTGGAGTGGAGATGTCTTCTGCATTTGAGAAACACGTGCTACAAGTTAGTGGATGTGGTTGGAGTTAAGAGGAGGGTTGTTCCAGTTACAGACCCTCCTGGATTCACACAGGATGTAGAAGGACTGTCTGCTCAGACAAACAGCCACCCCGCCAATATGCCGCTGTAAAACAGGAGCGATATGTACCAAGCACCACAGTCACACAAAACTCATCAAGTCATTCATAAAACAAGTGCCCTGTTCCAACACAGAGCCAGCTCCTCTCACATACATTTAATCCTGTCACATAAAAGCAGTAATCCAAAGCCTTCTTCTTACATAACGTACAGAGTGTCCCTCACCACAGCTGTGCTCACACACCCCACGTGCCTCCCCTAGATTCCCAAATAAACAAATACATAAGACTCATAAGAGCACAGGATTGTCACTCTGCGGCAGAGGTGGTAGAGTAGCCAAAACATGTACTCAAGTAAGAGTAATGTTACTTCTAAATCATATTACTCAAGTAGAAGTACAAAGTAACGGTTCAAGAAATTACACAAGTAGAATAAAAAAAAGTATTTGGAAAATCTACTACTCAAGGAAAAGTAACTTACAAGCTGCTCTATGTACTTGGAGGGTACATTCTGTTGGAGGGTCCCTCACCTGCTTGTCTCCATG